GTATAACTTTCGGCTTTAAAGTGATAGGAATTTAATTATTATTAAATTTAAAAAAACAATAATAGCGAAAGTAGTATCTCAATCGAGGATAAGAGATCTAGGATCTTGTCAAAAATTAATATCTGGATATCAATCTAGAAAAAAATCATCGACCCTAATATTTGAACTTTTGAAAATTGTAAATGCGTATTACAGAGTATTTCTACAGTTTTCTCAAAATTCTAAAGGAAATTAATTTTCTCTTAATAAATTATTTTAATTCAGAAGCACAACACAAGGCATGAGCAGATTTCGATGTATTGAAGTAACAAATAAAACAAAAGACGTTTAGTGGAATTACTCAGTTTTTCATATTTTTTTGGTTTTTACAGTGCGATTTGCACATTTTTAGGTTTTTTCTGCACCTTAGTTGATTTTCACTGCACGAAGATCCGGTCTCTTCACATAACTTTTTGTTAATAATAAACCATTTTGTAACAATTTGTAGCGCATTATTTATTGTATGTGCAAATATGTTAGAATTTATTTCGCATCATGTCCCCCTTGGTCGAGCGGCGAGAGAAGGAACCCCATTGACGGGGCCGCCAACCCATCCCTTTCCTCCCCCCTGAGGAGAGCCATCTTCCTGAAGTGGCCGGCCCCCGGGGAGGAGGGACGAGGGGGGGGGGCAGACACGGTCCCAGACAGTGGTCACTGGGTCATGACGCAGCCTTGACCGCCACTTGTTGTGTCCATTCACAGCCTGCCGGGTCGATAGTGTCTCCTTAGCTGGGGGGCATTGCCCCAAGGGGGGGAGTCTACGGCAACTGGGGCGGCCCTTGTGGGGGGAGGGTACTACTGTCGGTCCGTCTCCTTCCAATACGAATCGCCCTTTCGTGTAGACAACCAACGATCCTCAAAGTAGCTTGTGAAGGCAAAATAAACCTGAACTCTGATTGAATCCAAGACAATATCATATTTTAAAATACTTAGCCGGTCCTGTTTATTTATTTGGTTATCACAGCAGTTTAGAGCTCTAATAAATTTATCAGAAGTTATTCGGTAAATCATAAGATGTATTGGTAAATTTTACAAATTTTAGTAATACAATTTTTTAATGAGTTGTTTTCCAATCATATTTACGAGGACAAAGTAGTGTGGCCCAAATCAAAGATCGGGACAAGTTTTGGTCTTGCGCAAGACTCATGCAGTTACCTATTAGCTTATTGCTATTTATTAAACATGTTACTTTAGGTATTAAAAAAACTCTACGGAATAGGTACTTAAATGTTAAATATATATCGATATATATAATTTAATCATATCGAGTCGCAGAAATTCCTCGGAAAATAAATTTTTCAGGACTTTATTTTTTCCATTCTTAGCTTTTCGGTTATTTTCTCCGGGCCAGGAGAAAGGACGCCGTATTAATGAAAATTAACCAGGACGGGTAGAGATCTAAGTCAAATCAACTAATCCATGACCAAAATTCGGTCCAACTTATAATGATCATAATATAATTAGACTAATATGAAGTCACATCCAATTTAAAAATATTTGTTTGTTTGTTGTTGTCTACAAGCGTAAAACTCTCAGGTCATCAACGCCTACGGTTTTTTTTTCAACTAAAAAACAAAACGGTTTTGGGGTATTTAAATTATTCGGAATTCCACTGGATGATTATTGTTGATAATTATACAGAAATGTTTAATAAAAATTAATAATAAAAAATTAGTTAACAAATTTGGTTCTTTAACATATCTGGTCCATGATTAATTAATTGGATTTATTTTCTCAAAGGCTGGTTTGTGTTCATCATGCTTTCTAATTACCTACATTACCTGTGATCATCATGATATATATATATATATATAGGTGGCTAAATTAAAATAACCTTTACGAAAAAACATATTTTATTTCTATATTTAATAAACTATATATGCAAATTATATTTACAAAAACTAAATGCATGATTCAATGACTATGAATTCAGATGGACTGTTTTGAGTATTATTGCCATGAAATATTATAACATTAGGATTGGGAATTTTCACTTCGCTATTGTCTAAGAAGTGGTGTGGTTGGTAGATTTCATCGTTGCATCTGCAGATCCGAGGTCATCAGGTCAAGCCCAGGTCCAAAAACTGTCAGGAGGACCATCTTGATGGTCTATGCAGGGCCAAGGCTTCAGTCCCCAAACCGGAAGAAAACATAAGACCTATCCTCAAGGCCGGAAATCAACATAAGACCTCATTTTCTACTTCTCGGGAGATTTTTTAGAAATATTCAAGGTGGGGCAAGGATGGTTTTCATTGGTTCTTAACTTCATCCTGTTACTTCACAATAACTAGTAACACCCTAAAAGGAACCAGTTACTTAACCTGTTACTAGTTATGAGTACAAGCCCTCCTCAGTGTCCAGATACAGGTCGGTCCTTATCTACCTGCTCTCTCTCCCTTGATGCTGTTTTTTGATGTCAGAAGTCGGTTTCATTCAACTTTGTTTTCGATAAATAACAATTTTAAAAACTCATTTGATATGTTCAATACATAGCAGTACATCTAGATGTTTTATTAACATAAGCATGATAAATTCCAACCAGATTAATGAAATTAACTTGACAATACATTGAAATCGTTGTCACGACAAACAGAGATGGGCCCCCATCTTGCTATGGAAGAGTTGTTGAGCAAAGAAAATTTATACAATGTGACCAATTATTTAAATAAAAAATCTGGTGTGTTCACTCACACGACTTTCCTACCGATTTTATATAATTGTTTTTTTTTTTTAATTTCAAATATGTTCATTAAAAATAACAACTTAGTGTGTATAGGTATGCATGTGTTTTTTGCTTAGTTTTAATTTTCTTATTTTTAAGTTATTTTATTTTATTTATTGTATAAACTTTTTGATTATTATTTATTGTTATTTTGCTTCTATTTATTTTATATTTTTTGTACATATAGTGTGAATGTTATTCTACCTCACTATAACTAGTGTCCATGTGACAGATGGTGTAAAAAAAAAATATATATATATATATACACTATTGAATTAGCCTGATTTTCCTTATAACTGATCAGAGAAATCATCAGAGAATGATTTCTTTGATGAACTAAAGCAATGTAAACGGGCAAGTGAACAATTATTAAAACCGATGCACTTTAACGTTACTAAAACTGGTTCGATTCAGACTTGATATTTATAGTTTTGGCGGAAATTCAATAAACTTTTGAAAACTGTTATCTCTACGTACTTCAGAGATATTACTGTCATTTTTCCGAATTGTTGAAACCTGACTAAACCAAAATGAAAAGTTGGAAGATTTAAATACAAAAGTATATTGGTTCTACCAATTCTTTACATATAGTAACTAAAATTGTTTAGTATTAGTCTATTTTGGCTTAATTTTTATTCACAAAAATGCTTTTTCCTTTTTTTTTTTTTTTTTTGGCCGGATCCAATGTTGGTCTTGGTCATGTAATAGTTAGGCAGTCTTGGTCTTGCAAGACTAAGACCTATTTCGAATAACACTAGGACATGTATATTTATATTCTCCCTATTGTATGATTCGGAAATAGTGCCTAAAATGGTGTTATATAAATAAATAAAAAAGCTATCTAAATTTTAAATAAGCGATATAATTTGTGTTGTTACAACTAACCAAGGAGGTATCTTTTAGATATGTGGTTACTCATAACTCTGTTTATAACGATTACGTAACTGCTCAGGAAAAAAAAATTAGTACGTGGAAATAGAGTATTTTGTGATAAAAATCAAAATATCATGAATAATGCAATGTTGGAGGTGTGTCGAAATTTTATTGATTTATTCACTAAGGTGAATAACTTTTTTTTTTTATTTCTTTATGACATTTACAACTGTATTACATAAATACATCAAGTGAATTTGGACATAATTGATATAATGACTTGAATACACTTGCTGAGTAACTACCCAATGGTAGCACTCTAATGATATGACTACATTAGGAGATCACGGGGCCATCTTCTTTTCAGACGCCTCGGAGGGTTATCAGGAATTGAAGAGGAAGCAAGGTTAGAAACGAGAGGGTTGGGATGATTCTGAAGTTTATTATGGAAGGATAGGTATCTGGATTGGGCCAGATCTGAAACATAAGGAACATTAAGATCTTTATGGATAATTTTATTAGTGACAAAGTAAGGAGCATTGAGGATTTTACGAAGAATTTTGGATTGTAAGGATTGGATGCGAGAGGAATTCGATGGTTTAGTGGAGCCCCATAGCTCAACTCCGTAAGTCCAAATAGGTCTTATTATACTCAAGTATATAAGTCTTTTGTAATTAATGGGAAGTTTAGAGCGTTTGTCTAGTAAGTGCTGAAGTAATCGGAAACGTCGAGCGGTTTCTTGTCGTTTCAGTCTAGTATGAGGATTCCAAGTTAGTCGTTTGTCCAGGTGGAGTCCTAGGTATCGGATTTGCTCAACAGGGATAAGTGGAGTATTGTTAAAGGAAACTGTAGGACAGGAAGTCGTTGGTTTACGACGAAGTGTGAATAACTAAGAATAGAAAAGTAATCATTTGAAAACATTAGAACTTTTTACATCAAAACTTTTTATAATAACTGAATTTCCTAAGTACTTAGTCAGCGAAACCTTAACGTTGTTGGCAATTTCTCAGGAAACGTGAAAAAAATATATTTTCTATTATATCAAAACTAATAGTCCGTGGTACAGACCCCTTCTTATCAAATTATTAACATCCGACTGAGACTTCGTAAATAGCTTCATCTTGTCGTAACCTACAAATATTTTATTTACGGATATTCTGGGAATTGGGGCGTTTTCAATATGGAGGTCAGCAAACTCACGCTATTTAATTAGGTACCAAAAATTCGTAAATACCCATTTGCTTTCTTCTTTAATCGTAAGATAACTTGAGCACAAAGTCAAGAAAAAGGTGGGATTCAAAAATAAAAAAAATATAAACATTGTATGAATCAGTAAACCTTGCCTTATTCTTATGTCTGCTATTAGATCATGTAATCCTTTAAAGTGTTTATAAACTGTTAAAACAAATACCGTTGTCCTTTCTTGTAAACAAATTCGTCAGTTAGTCTCGCGCAGTGCTGGGCAGTGCAATAAGTAACAGGTTCTCGTAATATTTATAAAGAGGTGAGTTATATAATTAATTACATAGCGTGTTTACAAAAATTAATAATGATATATTAATTAGTATATATTAGAAAGTATACATACATACAATTTTACACACAACTGTAGATAATTAGTATATATCGGACCGGGGTAGTATTTTATTGTTTACTCTTCAGTAGGAATGTTATCTTTAACTCGTTTTTTATCAAAGAAATAAGTGTTATATTAATAAAAATTTCTGCTTCCCTTATTTACAAATTGCTATCTCATAATTATCGTCTCGCTGTCATAATAAGAAAATTATACTTAACGGATAAAAATTATGGTTATTTTTATCTTCAGACCTGGTTACATAAGTTGAAATTGCCATCGAAAACACGCTTTAGAAATATTTTATTTGTTTTGAGAGGCATTTCCTTTTCAAAGAACTCCAGAGAATTAATTATCTTGAGACGTATTTTCATCTGAATAATGGCTTATTTGAGAAATCATCAAGCATATTTATACATATTCATCATATACAATACATACAATCATATACATACAACATACATATACATACAATCATCATAGCAATATTTGGACTATTTAAAAAAAAAAACATATATATCCTAGCGTGTGTAACATGCACACGTGTAACGGATGTAATAGATAATATTTAAATAGACGACAGTAGACCTCAATAGCTATAAAACAGATCCTATAGGATCATGGTCCAATTCCACACTGAAATGGTATGAAATTTAAGTTTTCGGTTTTCTCAAATGAAGAACCTGTTTTTAGTTGAATAAGAAGTGATAAAAAAAAAATATTTAAGTCAAAAATTACCAATTGTTTAATAGTAAATTAAACAAAATTTACTTTTAACGCAAGTAGAGTTTATCTTTGTTAACACCATTCAAAGGTGACATTGAAGCAGCTAGCTTATGTTTTATAAAATGAATTATTCACGATTTTTTTTTAATCGTTAGACTGTAGCTACATCACTCTTAGAAAAACGTTTGTGTTTTATAAAACTTCAAGTTCATATTAAGTTGAGAATTGTAACTGATTAAGTTGTGTAAAACAATTATGTGATTTCATATTCTGTCACCCACAATTACCTTTGTGTTTAACGAAAGTAGCTACAATAAATTATTATATATCTTTGATTTTTATTTTATGACCTGGTATTAATTGTAAAAAAGAAATTAAATAGTTAGTTAAATGATACTGCTTTTTCAAAAAGTTATCATCTAATAAAGATAATGAACCAGTGTTTTTTGCCCAGATACCTATCGTGCGAATAAACCCTTTATGCATCAAGTAACCAACAAAATGTTCCCAATCCTATTATTTATTTTTGCATGAATCCAATAATCCAAACTGTTATAGGGTTTGCAGAAATGTTAATTAATAATAATAGGCTATTACTTAGAATCGATATTGGTATCTACGTTTAGTGACAAGAAGATTTTTACTTGCCGGTTTAAGGCTATTTCAGAAATAAAATATCTCTATTCTTGTATATATTGCTTCTTCAGAAAAACAAAATATATATATATATAAAAAAAACATTACCTACTATATTAGGATTTAGCACATTATTATAAATTAACTGTACAAAAAAAAACTAAAAACCTCATAATAGAGATCTATGTAAAAATCATTGATGCATTCTCACTCAGATGATAAATTTTGAAATAAGATATTATAAAAAAAAAAAAAAATAGAAACGCATTGTTGATAACCCTATTAACACTCCCTTTTATATTATTTCAACAAAGATAACATATATTTTCATATAATGTAAATTCTGTCTAGTTTGCTCGGATCAGTTGTTAATTACCTAAAATATTTTTTCAGTTATACCTGATCAACGAAAAAATGTACTGTTTTTTATTCTTTATTTTCCGATAAGCTTAGTAAAACATACTTTGGTTAATTAACAATAAGTAAGATTTTCAACATTCGGCTAAGTGGAGGCATAGTCTTGTATAAAAGACACCACTATAGTTTAAGTTAAGTTTGTAGAATACATGAATGATAATACAATAAATAAAGTTTAAGTAAAATATAAAACAAATAATAATTATAACATATAAAAAAATAAATAAAGATAGAATGAAAAGTTCACATTAGGTTTTTCAAAAGTCTTGGTTTACTTACTTTAGAAAGAGACAAAACAAATTTTCTGCGAAAAATCAGACTAAGTTTTTGTGGATCTTTAGATCTTGAGAGTTTCCTTTTAAGGGAAATCCTATTAATATATATATATATATATATATATATATATATTATATATATATATTATATATAGAAAATTAAAGTTACAAAAATTATACTAGAATCCACCTGAATCAGCCGATGAATCAATAATTAAAATTAAATGTTGATTTTAAATACTATTAATATTCACCATTTGCGTCATAAATTATCGTATTAAAATGAAATGTATAAATAATAATAAGGCTTAGCGAACCCGAAGGTTCGATGCCGACACCACCAATCGCTTGTTACACACCTCCCTCCACCGTTCGCCGTCCAAACCCAGTCCCTTCAGATCAGCCTTAATGCAATCTTCCCACCTTCGCTTCGGTCTACCCCTCCGACGCTTACCATTCGGCACAGCAAATATTAACCTCTTAGGAATTCTCTGGTTACTAAGCCCAACAACTTTACAAGCCCATTTGATTCGCCGCGATGAAATTACCTCAATTATATTACCCGGATATAGCTCACGCAATTCGGCGTTGTGTAACCGTCTGAACTCTCCGGTTAACTCATCCTTCTTCGGTCCGAATATTCTACGCAATACTTTATTTTCAAAAACCTTAAGACGCTGCTCATCCCTTAATGTAAGCGGCCAAGTTTCGCATCCATAAAGAACTGTAGGCAAGATAATTGTTTTCTAGATTCTAATTTTTAAGTTCCGGGACAAGAGGCGCGAACTGAGTAGTTTTGTCACAGAAAAATAACAAGCATTCCCCGCCTTCAGTCTAACTTTAATCTCTTCTTCAATTTCGTTTTTTCTAGTTATCGTAGAACCTAGATACCTAAATTTATCTACCTGTTCAAACATATTACCATCTATATCGATATCACCAGTAGTATCGCCATTTTTGCAGCTAACCATATATTTTGTTTTATCCACGTTTATTTCGAGTCCTAGTTCTTTACCGGCTTTCATTAACGTTGTCGTATTTAGTTTTATAGTTTCAACGTCTTCGCTTAACAGTACCAGATCATCAGCATAGCCCAGCACGGATGTTGTCCCGCCCAGATCCAACCCTTTCTCGGTACGCATTACCTCCCTAATGGCATGTTCTAATGCCAAATTGAACAGGACAGGCGAAAGAGAATCCCCCTGTTTTAAGCCCGAACGAACCTCAAATTTTTCGGACAAATTATTACCGATTCTAACTTTATTGAGTGTCTCCGTCAAGCACATCCTGACTAGATTTACTAGTTTTTTTGGAATTCCCTGCTCGATTAGAATATTATACAGTTTCTGGCGGTCAATAGAATCGTAAGCCTTTTTAAAATCTATATACAGCTGGTGAACAATACCGTTATACTCCAACTTTTTCTCTAATATTTGCCGTAAAGAAAATATTTGATCAATAGTCGAACGATTCCGTCTAAATCCGCATTGGTAGTCTCCGATAATTTCCTCGGCGTATTCCGTGATTCGACTGGTTAAGATTACAGTGAATATTTTATAACATACCGGAAGGAGTGAAATTCCTCGATAGTTATTACAATCCGTCCTCGGACCCTTTTTGTGAATCGGAATAAGAATAGATTCTTTCCATTCTTCAGGTAATTTCTCGTTCACCCAGATCTTTTCAACCAAGCGATGTATTTTAGAAACTCCAGCTTCCCCGCATGCCTTAATTAGTTCAGTAGGAATATTATCGATTCCCGCTGCTTTATATGATTTTAATTTACCGATAGCTACTTCAACTTCCTCTTTACTTGGTCCTTCTATCAACGATTCAGCACTCTGGTACTCAGAAGGAGGACACAGATCATAATTTCCCGTATTTAAAATATTGTCAAAGTGGAAAATGAAATGTATAAAATAAGTTTTTATAACGTTTGTACCAAAACGTTTAAATAAATTATAATATTAAATAATCACAATTCTATATGAATTTTGTATGCAATAGACTCAATTAATTAGTTAAAAAATATCGAAATATGCAAAATTTCCAACAAAAAAAAAACATGAAAATAATTGCCCATAACTATTTGTAAATGCCATTAATTTGTAACAAAATAAATTTTAAAAATCAGACAACCCCATTGAATGCTATTGGTAACACAACTAAAGATATCTCAGAAGATTAGGTACATATTGATTACAATTTTGAATCCAATTATTTAATAAATAATTTTTAGAAGCTTTATCTATGCTTATAGTTACAAGAAATAAATAAATTAATAAAAGTATAAAATTACAAAAATATTAAATATAAAAGTTAACAAAACGATTGTTAACTAGGCTAGGTAGAGCTTATTTTTAGATCAGTAGAGTAGTTCTTTTCATTTTCTGTATTCGTTTTGGACTATGATTTAATCATAGATTTTATTACTTTATTTAATTTATTTTTATTCTAGGATGGCGTCAAATCATATCGACCTTCAAACAAACAACAATGACGAGAAACCTAGAAAAAGGATTAGTACGAGAGGTATTTAAATAATTATTATCATATCCAAAAATATCGCCTTGAAGAACAAAACAATAAACTATGGCATTCTCTCTAAGGGCCAGTTGCTCCAACAAAGCTTAGATTAAGCGTTATCTAAGATTAAACAAAGTTTAATCTTCATCGGCCGACCTTAGAAAACTTGGTTTAATCTTAGATAACGCTTAATCTAAGCTTTACTGAGTTGGAGCAACTGTCCCCAAATATTGCCAATACTTATCATTACGATTGCTTTTTGAGTACGGCAGCATAACTCAGTTTAAAAGTTTTGCTCATTTACCGGCGGTACAGAGCAAATAAAAAATGACTCCATACCTGTATATTGAATAAGAAAGCTTTTAAAATATTTATATAATTTTATTTTTAAAAAGTGGTCTAATAAATTTAACTTTATCATTTATAAATATACATATAGATTCATTTTTTTGTTGTGCTATAAAGTTTTTTTTATCAATACAGGTGTTAAATGATCTTTGAATTCTATTATATTTTCAGAAAAGTTTCTGTGATTAAGGTGTTTAATTTTATCTTCTCTATATCCGTTTATATGTTTTTCCTACTTTTCCACTTTTTATTTATTTATTATTTGATCAGAAAGATTTATTTAGTAAGCTTAAGTTTTATCTTGTGAACTATTTTCTTTTTTACGAAATGAATGAACAGTAATTTTATTCTAGGACTAAAATCCCCTTAGAATAATAACAGACTTAAAAAAAAAATTGAGCCCATTTGACTGGCTTGACAAAATACAAAGAGATACATGTCATTTACCTGTTATTTGCAACTGCTATTTTTATTTTATGTACAATGACAGAATAATTAAGGAATTAGCTACACACTGAATTGCTAAATTTAAAAAAATATAACATAAATAAAAAATAAGTAAAGTGAATATAAATGTGTAAAGTAAATTGATGATACCCAGAAAGGGGTTGGTGGCAGAAGAGATTTGAGGAAGGCACATTTTTAGGAGGTTTTAATTTTTTAAAGAGAGCACATATGTAGTTATAAATTTTTGGGGAGGACCATATTTTTGAGGGATTTCAATTTGGAGAAACTTTCTTACCAGAGAAGTAGAAGAAAACGTTGAACAGACACAGCAAACGTAATTGTTTATGATCTACAATTTTTCTAATTCTACTTTTGCTTTCACTTTTTATAAGAAGATGAAAGCAGCAAAATACCTTGGAGAAAGATTGGGGAGAGGGATATGCGTCATTAGCCTTGGAGATGGATATTCCAACAGCCAACCATAAAAACCGATTGAACGTCTTAGCAATCGATGAATAAAGGAACGCACTAAATTTCATCGATGATTTTCGGTATCGATTACCGATGGCTCAGCGCTAACTTATGTTTCCACTATCAGTTTTCATTTATTTGACAGGGATTGAACTTAGTTCTAATCTTATCTTGTCATTGATTCCCTCTTTCTCTGTTTATAAAGATGGTTACATATAAATATTTAGATTACTACACAAAAAATAAATTTTATTTATTTTTTTTATTGTTCTAGGTGAAATTGTAACTACTAAATAAAATAATCAAGGCTTTTATAAATATTTTACCAATTCTTTATTTCCTTCTCTACCATTGAAGCCGAAATATGGACAGCCTAGATTACTTTATTAACAATATTTTTTTTTTTTAGATTCATATAATTTTTTTCAATCATTTATATTTTTTTTTATAGCCAATATTTTTTTATGTTTAAAATTTGTTATTCATTTATATTTTTATAATTTGTATTTATTTATTTTATTTTTATTTAATACGTAAATATGATCAATGGCTATCTATAGCCTAGCTATTGATAGTTTTCACTACCAAGTGCTATCTTTCGACTGAACGCCATAGATAGATGTACGTAAACAAGAGAATATAAAAGATGGAAAGTACGTATAAGATAACGGTAATATAAACGTAAAATTACATACATAACAATAGGCCAAGATTTGTTTGTATATTTTTAAATAAAAATTCTTATATTTATATATATTTTTTGTTTTGACTTGCTGTTATGTATTACTGTACTTACCACATTTTATCTTCTCTTATTTAAATTCGTCAATCCATATCTTAATTTTCTGATGTAACTTTTTTAATTTTTTTATTTTAGCCCTTATGATAGGTTCGAACGTCGGAAAAATCAATAAAAATTGACTGCATGTCTTTACTAGATTCCATCCTTAGAATTTTAACAGTCACATATATCTTTTTTATTTTTTATAATCGATGTCCTATATTAAATATATTTATTGTAAATCAAATATTATAACTGAAACAAAACAACTTAATATAAATGTACACCAATATTTACCAATAATAATATATTAGTGTTTACGTACTAATATATAGTAAAGTTTACGTTTATTAAATTATTGAGAAAAATTGTTTCATAAATAAATTTGTATTTTTAATTAAAAAGAAGAAACCTGTAGATAATTTGTAAAATATAAATATATTTTTATTGCCCTTACAAGCAATTGAAAGAGAAGTGAAAGAGACAAAGAGAGACAAAGCGACATACAGACACACAAAGAGGGTTGGTATCGGCTACGAGGGCGCAGCTATATAAGATTCACAATCACATGTCAATAGTTCTACGCCTGCGTGGCTCCCTTTAAAGACATTACAACTCCACCACTTCATATTTTCCTAAGTCCTTCATACTTCATCCTGCTTGTCTCGTCCTCTGTCCTTTCTGTCCTTCGTGTCCCTTCACCCACACCGGCCAGACCTTGTGAAACGTTTTCTCTCTCACCTTTCGTATCCTTCTCCAAATTTGAAAAACAAACAAGCAACTCTTGTTTTAAATATTTTTATTTAAAATATCGAGTATATAATTTTTTTTAAATATCATTTTTTTTTTTTTGCACATGTATTAAAATTTATATATCAAAAGGTTTTTTTTATGTTGAGCACTAAATACCTCCCATTCTCTGTAATGTTAATAAATAAATAACAAAAATTGTAAAAATAAATTAAAAAAATTATAGAAGAAAGAAACAATTTATTTTTATATAAAAGAGTGCTGCTTAATTATATTGGGTTGCTAAATACATAGCATACTGGTTAGTGTTGCCCAAATGCGAGACGAAGACGAGTCTTGGTCTTGCAAACCCAGTGTTGGTCATGGTCTTGGTCTTGCAGTAGTTAGGCGGCCTTGGTCTTGATGCAAAGTGCAAGACCAAGACCGATTTTGGGCAACACTAATACTGGTTAATCTTTATGGACAATCAGTAAAACTTACATATAATAATACAGTATTATTTGAATATATATGAGTTCAATAAATATATATATAGAAAGAGAAAAAATAAAGAAAAGGATTTACATATATTTATATATAATTTATCTTTCTCTCTCTTATATTCTACAAGTATTACTTATTTTTTAAATTATACAATAGAAACGACCACAAAAAAAATGTATATATAACAAGAGCTAAATCAAATTTAATATAAACGAATACAATAAACATTATTAATAAATTAAAACATAATGTGAATCTATAAAAATAAATAAATATATATGTTTTTTTTTCTCAGTAACCTAATTATTTATATGAAACCGTCTTTATAAATAGAGGGAATGAGGATCAACATTAACTAATATTATAACTAATTGTAAGTCGAATTCGTGACAAATAAATGAAGCCTGATAGTAAAAACATAAGGGAAAGTTTCTAAAGTCAGTGTTGAGCACATCGAATGTCAAAAAGAGTCCCCCAGTGACAAAAAGAAATTGATTTTAAAACATTATTTAGTCATAGTTTTCATATCTATATCTAAACTACTCAAATCTTTCCTCATTTTTATATAATATTCAAACTCCTTCGATTTTAAGCTTACAGATCTATAAGGAGAATAATGTTTCAAAAAAAAAAAAAAATTGAATCTGTTAATTGAACGAATCTCATGCGATCTATATAAAAATATTATAAATAATAAATAAACAATAATTTTTTTCACCTGGTAAAGTTTGACTTCGTTTTCCTTTACTTTAAATGTTTTCATCCATACTGATATTTATTTTCAGTAGGTCTTTTCAGATATTATGATTAGTATTTCCAGTATATAGTCCTTATCATATGTGCCATTTACGAGTTACTGTTCTAGTTTTTTTTTTTTTCTCAAATTTTGGTTTAAATTTTACACAATGGACTCAAAATTTGTAAAAAAATAAATCAATAACAAGTTTGTTCCGAATAATCATCACTTTAGGCTTCAGCTGTTTAGTTCAATCCGAAAATAATGTAATATAAGGTAACTCGAACTTCCCTTCAATTAAATGTTGTTACACCACTAAAATTTGTATTCCACAATTACAATTATTGACGGTGCTTACCGAGTGTCGGAGCGGAATAGGCTGCGAATTAGCACAAAGGCTGTGTAAATTAAATGATGGTCCAAATTAAACGGACAATCGTCAGAGAGGATCTAGCATTTTATCTCCCCATCTACATCTCCTTGATTTACTGCCAGTCCCTGTCTCTGCCCCAACAGGAATTTCTTTTCAATTTTATCTTCGATGGAGTGACCGAAAAAAATCGTTGTCTTTTTACATAAAAAAACAATTATTTTTTTATCATTAACTAGTTCTCCGATTAAGTTTGGAGTCAGAGATTTTCGGCTCTATTAAGACATGGAATTCCTCTCGTGTCCAGTCCTTACAATCCAAAATCCATAGTAAAAATCATCAATGCTGCTTACTTTGTCACGAATAAAATCATCCACAACGATCTTAATGTACCATCTGTTTCCGATTTAGCTCAATCCAGATACCTATCCTTCCATAACAAACTTCAGAACCATCCAAACCCTCTCGTTTCTAACCTTGCTTCCTCTCCGATCCCTGATACCCCCCGAGGCGTCTGAAAAGAAGATGGCCTCGAGATCCCAATTGCAAATACATTTTTAGAGTGCTACGAGCGGTTAGTTTCATGTTATGACATTCTTGTGATCGCATTCACTGAATGT